AGCATGGGACCAGCCATGCCCCCAGAATCCAGCCCACTGAACTCTGGGCTCTGCACTGTTCCTGTGGCAGTCTGCAGTGATGTCATGGTATCAAGACAAGCCAGTGGCCCCAGAGCCTGGGGAATGACCATGCTCCCCAACGGCATCCCAACTCACACCTCCCCAAGGACAGGCTTTCTTGCCTCAAGAGGAACATGGGGCCTCAGTGCTGGGCAGCCAGCCAGAAGCCCAGCCCTATAAGGAGAAGCTTGTCCCCACAGGCAAAGACGAAGTGAGTTGTGAGGAGAACTCCACCCCCCACCTGCCCGGGAGCCTCCTGCCCCAGCTCCCAGTGGACAGCCAAGGATTTGGGATCCAGAGATTGAGCTCAAAAGGTCACTGCCTGAGACCCTGCAACTGCACTCCTGGGCATCTATCTATCCCAGAGAAATAAAACTCCTGTCTCCCCAAAAACCTGCACACCACTGCAGCTTTATCTGTAATAGCAAAACCTGAAAATAATGAAAATGTCCCAAAACTGGTGAACAGTTAAAAAACTGTGGTCCACCCATACCACAGAACACTACTCAGCAGCCAAAATGGACAAACTACTGACATGGGACAAGTTGGGTGGATCCCAAGAGCATCATGCTTAGTGTCCAAAGCCAATGTCAAAGGCACTGTACCGTAAGATCCCATCCATGTGACATTCCTGAATGATAGGACATTACAAATAAAAAACAAATTAGCAGTTGCCAGAAGCTGGGGATGTTGGGGGTGGGGGTAGCACAGGGAGACCTCTGTGGTGGTAACACTTCTATACCTGGACCATGTGGTAGTCATGTGACTCTACAAGGTGGGGATGGACACTTCTGTACCTGGACTGCGCAGTGGTTATGTGTCTCCAACGTGACAAAAGGCATAGAACTACACATACGTTACCAGTATTAAATTCCTCAATTTTCTACTTTGGTTACAAAAATGTCACCACGGGGGAAACTGTGTGAGGCATACAAGCGGCCTCTCTGTACTACCTTGGCAACTTCCTATCAACATATATTTCAAAATAAAAAGTTTTTAAAAACCATCAGCTGGGACTACCAATTCTAATACTGCTACACATTTTCACTAGGAGCGAACCATTTAGCAAACAGATGGTGGGCGCTGGGGCCCAGCTCCTCACTGCAGGAGTGTGAATCAGCACACAGGAAGGACCCGTGTGGCCTGCACTGGAGCTGAGGACACCAGCATGAACTCGTGTTTAGTGTAACAGACACAGAGGGCTGCATGGAGAAGCACTTACAGACGTGTGTAATTACATGAGTTAGCGCACATATATTTCCTGGCTCTCTTAGCTGAGAAGGCCTGGAATCAACAGCACCCAACAAACACATCTGGAGCTCAGATCTTGGTTTCTAACACCATTCTGCAAGCAAAAGAGGCAGGGATCCCAAGAGAATGGCTGGTGCTGGGACCAGGCAGGAAACATACAGCATAAGCCTGGAGTGTCTTATAGCAGAGTCTTAGCACCAAAAGGATGGAGGTGCTCAAAAGCAACAAATCTCAAAGACATATAGACATACACACAAAAAGACATACACATATACAAACACTGACACACAGATACAGACACAGACACAAAGATACACAGACACGCATAGAAACACTTAGACACAGAGATACACACAGACACAAACACACAGAGATACACACACAGAGAGATACACACAGACATATATACACATGGAGATGCACAGACACAGAGACATACACAAACACAGACACACATAGAAACAGACATACACACAGAGACACACAGACACAGCTGCAAACACACATACACACACACACACACACACACACACCTCACACAACAACGGGGGCATGTCAAAGGGACCCAGGAGTCAATTGACAGAACTGCCAGTGCCAAAGCACCACAATACAGAAGCACTGGATTAAAACCCAAATTCTGAAATAAACACCTATGAGGCCATCTGATATAAACAAATGACTGAACACATAAATACACGAGGGAGCAGAGACAAACCTCCCAAGCTGAGGACTCTCTGTGGATGCTCTGCCCTCAGACAGGCGCTAATCCCTGCTCACACCTATGGGCCATTGGCCGGGACGTGCTCCCATGGAGAGCGTGCAGGGGGCCTACGTGGAGAAGGCGCCTCACCCTGCAGTCTCTCCCCAGCACCCAACCCCAGACAGCCACAAGGAAACATCAGCTCACTCCCAAAGAAGGCGTTCCACAAAACACACAAGCAATCCTCCTCCAAACTGTCAAGGTCACCACAAAGTCTGAGAAAAACTATCAGAGCTGAGAGGAGCCTGAGGAGACAAGATGCCTAAATGTGACATGGCGACTTGGACAGGGTCCTGGAACAGGAAAAGCATGAGTCAAAAACTAAGGGAATCTGAAGAAAGTATGAACTTCAGTTTGTCATCATGTGTCAATACTGGTCCACTGGCTATATCCAATGTGCCCCACTAACACAAACTGTGAACAGGGAACACTGGTCAGTGCAGGGAATATGGGAACTCTCTGAACTCTCATCACAATTTTGAGGAAGAAGAGTAGGCCCCGCCCAGGGAGGTGAGAGAGGCACCCTCCAAAAAGTGGGGGACTGTACAGTGCAGAGCCCTGGCAACCCCTGGCCATTGGGCTGAGGGCGTAGCTGTCGGGGTTGGGGGAACTTGAGCACAGTGCAGCCCAGGTAACAGGTGCACGCACACACTTGTGTGCAGATCTTGGCGCACTCAGTGTGCAGCCAGTGGCACGCTAAGTTCCCTGCATGTACTACATCTGTGACAGAGAGTCCCTGGCTTGTCAGTGGAGGCAGCAGGGTCTGGCTGGGGTAGGGTTGCTGAGACTGCCAGCACAGGTGGGGCTCTGGGCCCCGCCAAGGGTCATTCTGGCCTGTGAGGGATCATTTAGGAACGAGACCTGGGGTGAGGACAGAATGAAACCCACTTCCACCTGCGAAACTTCAGCACAGCCTGACTCCCCCATCTGACGGCCAGGCCCAAGCATCTCCACCAGCCATCTAGGTTTTCTCAGGCTTGAGCCACAAGCTGTGCCCACAGGCAGCCCTGCTGACCACACCCTGTCCTTCCCTGGCTCCACAGGTTGGACGCTGACACCAGTAGCACCTTCATAACAATAACTTTCGAAGCCGGGCGCGGTGGCTCACGCCTGTAATCCTAGCTCTCTGGGAGGCTGAGGCGGGCGGGTCCTTTGAGCTCAGGAGTTCGAAACCAGCCTGAGCAAGAGCGAGACCCCGTCTCTACTATAAAAATAGAAATAAATTAATTGGCCAACTAATATATATAGAAAAAATTAGCCGGGCATTGTGGCGCATGCCTGTAGTCCCAGCTACTTGGGAGGCTGAGGCAGAAGGATCGCTTGAGCCCAGGAGTTTGAGGTTGCTGTGAGCCAGGCTGATGCCATGGCACTCACTGTAGCCTGGGCAACAAAGTGAGACTCTGTCTCAAAAAAAAAAAAAAAAAAAATAACTTTCAACTTCTCCAGTCTCAGTCCTGTATAAAAAAGGCCAAACTTTCCACACACACTTCCATAAACAGTGAATCCTCAGGTCTTTGCTTAAACAGCACCTCCTGAGACAATCCCCTCAGGCTACCCTGTGCTTGCTCCTGTCAGGCTGGCAGGTGGGCACTTGCTGCTTGCTCCACCCCAATCCCCAAGTGTGAGTCCTATGAGGGCCATGCTCACACATTTGCGCTGCCCACGCCTCACCTGGAAGCTCTCACTGGCAGACACCTATAGAAACTCAGTAACCGGCTGAACAGCTCTCTTTTTCACCAGAGGAACAGAGAACTCAGCCAGAGCTGCAACATGGGGATATTTTTGGAATTCCCCCTCTCTGGGGTCCACCTGCAAAGCCAGGCCTTCAGAGTCAACATCTGGGGCCGGCTCCAGCCCATGTCCCTGGAAGCCCCATGTGACACCAAGACAAACATGAGGCTTTCTTTTAAGACACAGCATGGTGCTGCCACGGAACATGCTGGAGAAGCCATAAAACAGCAGCTTTTAGTAGCTGAAATATGACTCGTTTTCTAAAAGCTCCATAACAGGAAGTCTCAGTAGCAAAGTGCCTAGGTTTTCATAAAAAAACAAGAACAGGCAAATATTTATCAGATACAGCTCCTGGTTTTCTCCAGGGGCATCATCTTTCCCCAGGACAGGAGGTGGGCAACACAGCCCCTCAGTCTACTCAGCATTAGCTGGACAGCTGGACACCAAGCCCTGACCTGGAGAGCTTTTAGGGACGGATTCAGCTTTTTCCTGCCTCATCTTCTGAAATTTCAGCATCCAAGGCATCATTTTAAACAACACTCACAAAAGCCGTTCATGCTCCAGAGCCTCTGCTTATCAAGCCAGACATTAGAGCCCCTTCAGGCATGGGACAATTAGAGAGAATCCGGCAACATAGTCACCCACAGCCGGCTGGGAACAAGAACAGATGCTGCCTACACACCTGGAAACAAGTGACAGCCTCCATCCCAAACCCTGGGCTAAAAACCCACTGCAGCTTAATGTGCACTCACTGGGTGGCAGAGGGTGAAAGACCATCCTGCCTACCACGTCTAGAGAGGCTGACCCACTAAAAAGGGACACAGGCCCCTGCAGAGGGTCAGCGACTACCCAAAAAGCTCACCCTGGGCATGACACCAGGCCAGGCATGGATGCTGGAATGCTGGAGAGGAACTGAGACACTCGGGACCCACACCAGACCCTGAGAGTGCCACAGGTACCGGGGCTGGGGGAACTCTCAGCAACCTGGGATAGACGTGCCCCCTCTGACCAAACTGCCAAGATGCTTTCCTGCTGGGGGCAAGGATCTTGTGCTGACGTGAGCTTGTGGCATAAACCACCGGAGGCTGGGAAGTGCATACAGTTTGGCAGAGACCTTGAGGAAGGCGGGTGCACAGACAAGAGAGGACAAGGATGGATGTGGGCAGGGCAGCCTGGCTGCCCTTCCTTGAACCCATACCTTCGTGAGCAGCAGGACTCGCTTCTGGAGTCTTCGAGCCAGTGCCTCATGTGTCTCACGCCTCTTCCTCTCCTCCAGAAACTGACCACGGACCTGGCGGACCTCCTCCTGGAGCTGCTGCCTGGCCTGTTCCAGCCCCCGAGCGCTGCATGGGAAAGGCAAAAGGGCAGTGTGATGAGGCCTGCTGTGACCACTCCCTACCCTAGCCCAACGAGAGAGCCCACCAGGACGTCCTAAAATAGAGCTGCACGTGCAACTACCCACTGTCATTTCCTCACTCCTGAATAGCTACTTAAGGCCTTTCAGGAGTTTCTGGATTTCAAATAGGCTCCTAGGGTGATCCCAGAACACAGCAGGCAGGGGGAGGGGATGCTCAACTCCACACACAATGGAAAAAATTGTCAGCAAGGCAGTGCTTGGGGAGACAGGACTTCTGAATGAGCTAGATTGCAAAGCAAGCACTTCCCATCTGAATCACGGTCGGCACAGATGTGCAACATGGGGGGGGGGGATCGAGTTCGAGGCGCCCAGTGGGGGCCTGTTCTGAAAACATCCTGCAAAACAGAAACCCTAGCTGGTCACTGAGCACTGTGGACCCATGGTGCCTCCGGCGAGGCAGACACCAGAGACACCTGCCAGGCTACTTCAGAGAGGCCAGGCTTAGGTGAGCCCTCTCCCATTTCCTTTCAATTCTGTGTTTTAAATGCCCCCTTTTACTGGCCAGGCGAGATGGCTCACACCTATAATCCTAGCACTTTGGGAGGCTGAGGCAGGAGGATCACTTGAGGCCAAGAGTTTGAGACCACCCTGGGCAGCACAACAAGACCCCTACTCTATAAAAACAGAAAAATTAGGCAGGTGCAGTGGCATGTGCCTGGAGTCCCAGGTACTCGGGAAGCAGAGGAAGAAAAATCACTTGAGCCTAGGAGTTCAAGGCTGCAGTGAGCTATGATCGCATCACTGCACTCTAGCCTGGGCAGGAGCGAGACCCCCATCTCTTAAAAAAAAAAAAAAATCCCTATTTCCCTCTATGTCCCCCATAGCCTGTTCATGTGCTGGTTATATCTCACCTAAGTAACTGCAATGGCTGCTCAACGGCTCTCACTCAGCCCATTCACCACCACCAGTACCCAGCTGTCTCTTCAGACCACAGAGAAGGTCTGGTTGCTCGAATTTAGAAGCCTCTAGTGGCTCCCAACCACTCACAGGCAAACCTCCCAACTATGACCTGGCAGTAAAGTGCCTCAATCACTGGCCCCAGGGCCACCTCCTGACCCTGCTTATCCTGCGAGTGCCCAGAGCCAGGTGCCATCCAGCCTGACCCCAACACTGACCACAGGCATCCAGACTAAGTGGCTTCCCATGTTGCTCAAGCCCTGGATCCAACCTCGCCCACCAGGTGGCACTCCCCGAGAGTGCTCCCAGGATAGGACCTGGCTGGGGCGGGGAGGACAGACATGCAGACAAAGGGCAAAGGCAGGGAGCAGGGTGCATTACAGGTAAGGGTAGAAAACATGACGTTCACGCAATTTTTTTAAGTAGCAAAAACCTCTTTACAGAAGAAATCTTAACCAAATCTCAAAAAATAAAACATAAGCAGAGTATTAGGATTACATTGTAAGGTGACATTTGTGACGTTTAACTGAGGCGACAATCAGTGCAGACAATGAGGCTGCTTTGAAAATGTAAATGTGGCATCCACGGTTTCCATTCCACTTTGATTACTCAGTTTCGGGACAGCCTTAGTTCACAGGGATGGCAAATAATGTTTTCTTTGGAAGTGGTCTCTACCCGGCTTTTTCTGTTTCACATCAGAGTGAATACATGGTTTTTTCATTATAATTTCGTATAATTCTTTAAAGAGTTAAGGTATAACTTGAAAGTCAACGTGAATCAAACACTTATGGAACTTTACAAGGAACTTGGTGGCGCTCCTGGTCCAGTTGGGACTCCCGGTCTGGGCCACCTTGGACCAGCCCCACCCGGAAGCCTTAAAGCACATGAACGCTGGAACCACATCATCCTGGCATCTCATTTCAACGTAGCTGTGATGTCGTGGGATATGTATTTGGCCTTCTACCACTTTCCTGGCATGCAACTCCTAAAATCCTTATTCTCCAGTGATGTGTCCTTTTGTACTTAATGAGTGACAGGTGGCTGCCACTTCAGGATGGGGCTGGTTACCAGAAAGAGCCAGGCAGGACTAGAGGGCTGGATTTTCTGTCTCACCCCCACTTCCTGGGGAGGGAAGAGGGATTGAAGGTTAAGTTGATACCAATGACCAGTGGCTTAGTCAATCATGCCTATGTAATGAAGCTTCCACAAGAATTCAAGAGGACTGGGTTCAGGAGCTTCCAGGCACCTGACCCCACGGAGGTTTCTAGAGGCTCCCCGCCCCTTCCTCACACCTCACCCTACCCACCTCTTCATCTGTATCCTTTGTAACATCCTGTATAATAAACCAGCAAACATATGTAAGTTTCTCTGAGTTCTATAAGCTGCTCTGGCAAATTAACTAAATCCACGTGGAGGTTGTGGGAACCACAATTTAAGGCTGGTCAGTGAGAAGCACAAGCAAAATAGCCTGGGGCTTGTGACTGGCATCAGACCTAAGGAGGCTCTGGAAGGCAACACAGCTCTCGACCTAGGGGGTCTGACCTGACCCTGGGTACAGGTGGACATGTCAAATCACACTGGAGCAGCCCAGCTAATGTTTGATGCAGAACTGTCTGCCTGCCGGGTGACTGGGGAAACCCACACATTTGTTCACAGAAGATTTCTGTGTCAACTGTTATGGTATGAGAGCAGAGGGAAACAGTTCTGAGTTTTTCCTAACAGATTAGCCACCTTACACTAATATCTAATCACAATGCAGAACTGGCTGACTGCCACCTGCCACCACTAGGTGCTCTACAACCAAACACATAAAGTAAAACACAAGTACAAACATTCATGGAAAAAGACACATTGACAGACTATTCTGAGTTCTAGTTCAATTTAAAATTATTCATAGGCCAATTTAATAATCAAGGACTATGAAATAGACTCTTGAATCACTGAACTCAGGTGGGGAAGTTCACAGCACTTTAAATCACTGCTCCAGCAAGGTAATTTAATTAGAAGAACGACACTGTTCCCCGTGCACTGTTGTGAAGTTGGGCTCACAAAGGCCCAGACCAGCTGAGGGTTGCTGGGAGGCTGCCCTCAGCACAAGATGGTTTGGAGCAACCTGAAGAGAGACAGGTAAATCTCAAACCCTGCATCTGGGATGCATGATGCCTTCATATCCATGTGGGAGTCACACTTGGGGGCTGGAGCCCCCCCCCCCCACCAAGAATAGGTGAAAATAAACACATACAGCATGATAAACGCTACCTTCTCAGAGCGCAAACCTCTGAGGCTTGGAAGACCTGGCTCAGTGCAGAAGAGCAGGTGCCAACAGTAGACACCAAGAAGCCAGCCTCAGCCTGAGCCTCGGCCCCTGGGGGGGGGGGTGACAGAGCAGGCACTGAAAGCCCAGCTCCCGGTCCAGGCCTGAGGTACAGGATGTAACGTGGGGTGTGTCTGGCAGTACCTGCAGAGAGAAGACAGAGCCTCTAAGGAAGCTGGGCCATGCCCAGGCTGGACACACTCGCTCACAGGTTATCAAGGAAACCTCTCCTCTCCCAAGGGTAAAATACTGAAGTAAGGACAGGAAGAAATGAAGCCAGAGGAACCCAGGTTCCTAGAGGAGACCTCAGACAGCAGGCAGGACAGCACGGGTACAGCTAAGAAAAGCCCTCCCAAGGGCTAAGCAAAGGTGAGCCCTGCATAGACTGGGGCCACGTTCCCAGGGCTGACGTGTAACTGGAAACCAGTTTTTCTAAAAGACAAAACTAGATTTAAAAATCCAACTTCAGCACATAACAGAGAATGAACTCTCTGCCCAGCCTTGCTGCGGAGTGTTAGCGATCCAGACTGACCAGTGTTCACCCACCCTATCCATTTCATGGCAGAGCACACACATAGTCCAGCTGCAAACTGTTCCAGGCACCAGAGAAAAAGCAGCGTCAGTGCCCCAGTGAGATTTCCCAGGGCCTTCCTCCCACCAGGGATGCAGCTCAGGCAAAGGAACCACATGTACAGAGAGGCATCAATGTGAAGCTCAGGTGACCAAGGTGTAAAGCTGGCAACTAGGAAACCGAAAGGGAGGAAGCAGAACCCTAAGGTATCAATTGGGCAGTAACTTCAGAAAGCAGCTACCATTACTTGGGCTGTGGGAACAAAGGGAAGAGGCTGAAACAATTCAAATTCAGAAACGCAGAGGAAGATCCCAGGGAACAGAAACTTGGACCTTTGACGGGAGGCTCTGCTGGTGTCTGAGCTAGGGGGACCCCTGGAGGGCCTGGACCCAGACCTCTGAAGACAGGGCACAGCCTGCCGGAGCCACAGAAGCTGCAAACTGGGTTCTGCAGCTACTGGGGAGCAAGGCAGTGTCACTGAAGCACCCCAGAGAAAAGGAAGGAGCAGGCCCTGGGTGCTCCCCTATAGCCTCACCCTGGGTTTCTCCTTCATGTCCCTATGAAAGCTACCAGAGGCCCAATTGGCAGAGCAGCCATGAGGACTGCAGATCCCAGCACTGCAAACCGAGCACAGAAAAGGGGGTTTTAGTTGAAAGATGACAAATTGGTGACTTCAGTAGACAAAAGATAAAGCAAAGCAAACAAGCATGAGCTTTCTGGCATCGAGAGCCCTGGTGGGAGGTCACAGAGGCAGGGGTAGCTGCAGTGAGGACTGCCAGGGAGGGGCTTCCAGGAAGCCGAGGAGAGGGCAGGATCAGAGAACATTCCCAAGGTCAGAAGAGCTCGAGCAAAGTGCACACAACCGCTCAGGACATTTGCTCTGATGCGAAGAGAGCAGAGGACAGGGCTGTGCTAGGGTAAGAAGGCCAGGACCCCAGACAGAGCATGCGCTCACTCAAGGAGATGTCCAGCTCAGGGCACAGTCCTGAGCATGCAGGGAGGGGCCATAACAGCGAAGCCCTAGAGAGCCGAAAGGGCCCCATGTACTGCCCCAGTGGAAGGGCCGCCTGCCACAGCAGCGCAGCCTTCCAATGGCTTCTCAAGCGCTGCAGCACACAGCCCTCCCCATGCTGTACACAGAGGG